GTGGCTGCCCATCCGTAACATGGTGTCCTTCCGCAACGTGGTGGCCGATGCGGCCGCCGTCAACTGGTGGGACGACGACGCGGACGCCGTGGCGTTCACGCGCCTCCATCGCGGCTTCGTGCTCGTCAACAACGGTCCCTCGGTGGTGCACGGCCTGTTCAACACCACGCTGCCGGCCGGCTACTACTGCGACGTGCTGAGCGGCTCCCGCCGCGACACGCGCACTTGCTCGGGCCGCGCGGTGCGCGTGCGCCCGGACGGCTTCGCCGAGCTGAGCGTCGACCCGGCGGCCGAAGTGCCCGCCATCGCCTTGCACACACAGGTAAGTCGCGCCACTGAGATAAATAAGTAAAGCAATTAAAATAAATTGTCAAAATAAATAAATAAGGTATAGCTTTCTTTGCCTTTTTTTTTCTTAGCTGAGGGGTCGAGTAGACACACGTACAGGGGCATTTGAGAGAAACGCAAGCAGTGCAAGTCTATATAGGAAGTATATAGGAAGTCTATAGGAGGAGGAGGAAGCAACAAAAGGATCAAGGCAAGGAGGTTAACCAGAAAGACATCTTGTTGGCTACCCTACACTGGGGAATTGGGGAAGGGGACAAGAAAGATGAGAAAGAGGGAAGAGAGGAAGAAGGGAAGTCCATACGAAATCTATAGGAAGCCTATAGGAAGTCTATAGGAAGTCTATAGAAAATCTATAGGAAGTCTATACACTGTCTAAAAGTATATCCAGACAGCCTATAGATTGCCTAGATCAATTTTTGTGAGCGTGATACCTACTTTCCTATAGCTGCTTCGCATTTATTGTCAAGCGGTTGTAGCCTGGGTGGTGACAAAAACCATTAGAGGCATCTATGATACAATCAAAGACCACTCTAGTATCCTTTTATTGCCACCAAGGTCAGATCCCGATGAAAATCATGCACCGCGCTGTTTGCATTTCTCTCCATCCCCTCTCTGCACATTGTTCCAACTGCAGTAAAATATGCGAGTTGAAGTCGTTTTCTCACTAGTATTATAGGGCATGCTAATTGTGGAATGCGATTTCCTTTTTCTTTTGTTTTGTTTACTTTTTTATGTATTTATTATTTTTAATCTCATAACGCACGGCAAATATGGAGACTCTTCGAGGCCCTCCGCACGCATATGACTAAGCTTGGGCGCCAATAAAATACTCCGTATACCAAAGGGACATATATCACAAAACTTTGCATTTGCAGTTTGCATCCAACTATTAGCCAACTTCAGCTTTGTGCCTTGTATTACATAACTGTGTAATCTAACTGGAACAATAAACGTTTCGCAAAAGCGCTGGTAAATTAATGTGTGTACTGGTGCACGCACATTTGTATTCAAGGCTATTCTGTGTGATGCGATGCGATAAGATGCACTAAAACAATCGGGCAATTATATTTTCTTCGCAGGAAAGAGTCTTCCCAGATTACGTCTAATGAATCCCGGGGCCACGAGACAGTAAGTATAGAAGTGTCATAATAGTCCTCATAATCAAAGTGCCAAGTGATCGCAGCTCACTGCTTCAATTTCGAGATAGACGGTGTTTGTGTTGTCCTGAACTATCTCTCTGTCCATGTTTCCACGTTTAACTTGTTTAATCACGATCATTGCCAATTATGTCAGCGTTCTGTTGTTCAAGGCGCTTGGGTGTAATGGAAGGGGAAGTTAATAAACAACTGAGCGAGAATGAAAAAAGGCTTTTAAACTCGTTTCTCGGCGCCTCCGTGACATCGTCGAATTAGAACAGAAATATTGTTTTTAACAGTACTAAAGAACTAGGACTGAGTGCGTGAACGTTCTTTTATGCGTTATTTTATATACTGTCGTGCTTGTTCACTATTTTACAGCGGTAACTATTGTGAAAGATGAGAGGGTTACAGATGGAATCCTGGCTGCGGTAGTCTCACTTCGGTAGAGGTTAAGTGCCAGAGGGCCGTGTGCCTAAATTACGTGCGCGTTAAAGTCACATGATAAACATTTCGTGAGCTCTCTCGCACAGCGTCAGTGTCATAATCATATCGTGGATTTGGGGCGTAAAATACCAACGATTAATGTCGTTAAGAGAAGAGGGGTAGCCAACTCCACAAACTGGCACCGAACTCTCATTGTATACAATTAATAAAAACAAAACAAGAACGGACTTTCCTATTCGCTTGAGAAGGATCCCTTCCCGTGGTTAGCTAGCCGTTAGCATTATTCTGGGTCAGTTCCTTCGGACAGTATCACTATTCGGGGTCACTTCTTGTGCGGTATACGTTCATTCTTCATTGTGAGCGTAAACCTCAGCATGAATTGAGGTTTGTGAGAGAAGGATTTTTTTTGTGTGTGTCATAGGGAATGTATGCAACCAAACATTCAAACGATATAATGCAAGTGCGCATAATCGATCAAAAAGTAAGCTGTCCACTTCGCAGCCACGCGGAGAACACGTACACTGCTACCTGAACGGATATACGGTGAACTCCGCACGGACTGTACAGCGCGTAACATGCTTCTGCCTCGAACTCTTATTCAGGTCTCTGCGACAAGCACTCCGTGAGTGAGAAGGATGGACCTCAAGCGGCGACCTTGTACTTGGCCTTCTCGGCTCAAGCATACCCTCGAGCACTGAAGTTGAGGAGGAGAAAAAAAAAAGACGACGAAAAAGAAGCACAACGCTGTTCAGTTTGCTCTGTCCACAGGCTCCAAAATAAACGCACCGCGTGCCGGGGACCCAAAACACCTCCTTGACCCGGCCTTATTTTTATTTCTTTAATCGTGTGTGCACTTCGAAAACACCGGCCCGGACAGAGTTAGTTTTTTGAACACACACGGGAAAACCTCTCGAACAGCGCGTCAAAAGTAAAAGAGGGAGAAGGGAGTTTACGATGAGGACAGCTGGAAGGAAGGCAAGGGAGGGTGCTTGCGGTCAGCCCCTGCGAGCTCGTGATGTTTGGGCTAAACGCTCCCGTTTTCAGGGGGGACGACGGAAAGAGTATAGAAGGTATAAGTCGCGCCTTGTTTTGATCGAACAGTTTACACAACACCTTAGCTAAGCCCCCAGTAGGTCCACCCCGCGATCCGGCGCTGTTGTCTCGTCTACTTCAAGGTTTCGGGCCACCCACAGGCTCGCACAGGTCGACGCGCTTAAATTCTGTCGCCCCACGTTGTCATCGGTCAGGGTCATGAAGTGTTTGTTTCCGGGCGGGCGGCATCCAAAGGATGCCAGGTAAGGGTGTCGCGGTGTCCTGCTCCTGTGTGCACTGCTTTTTGTTTTGTTATTATTATACGTTTCAGGCTGCTGTATGATGCAGCTTCTGCGGCTGCATCCTCTACTCATTTGTATCGCGTCACGAATCGCTCACGAACATTAAGAAAGCAGTGGCGGGTCTAGACCATGGAAGCTTTTTCTGAACGCAAGAACCGCGGCTGAAAGAGATTAAAACGCCTTGAATGAGTGGAAAGCGCGCGGGCTGCGGTCGACCCGCGGTCTGAGGGTTTCCGAGCCCCGAAGAGACCGGAGCGGGACGTCCGGAACGAAGGAAGTCGGCGGTTTTCCTTCCGCGCTGAGCGGCCCATTGTGGACACCGCAGTGTTTCCTGCGGGAGTTGTACGAGGACGAAGCGTCCCAGTTAAAGAGAGGGATGCATGCGGAAGGAAGCAGCGGAATGCCGCAGCGCCCGCTAGAAGAGCTTGGAGCTTGACTTTCGATGTCGTATACATTGGCAGCTGTGTTTGCGCTTTAATTACGTCGATTGATCGACTTTTCTTTTGTAAACGTGCGTCTTTGTAGTGGTCTTAAGGATTCGTCGATAAGCGAAATCAAAAAGAAAGAGACGCACTGTAGTCGTCCGTACACGCACTTGTGATTTACTTACGTATATATACTCAGTAGGTTTATTAACGGTATATAATGGGAAGAGACAAACAGAAAAAGTAGAGAAGACAGACAATGCATTCAAGGCAGACCGGAGGAAAATGCGATATAGGGGGTATTGTACGCAGTAAAATTGGGCAGAGGAAACTTGTAGTGCATGATCGACGGGCTAGATTCGTGGTATAGATTGAGAACCTCAAGGATAGCACTGCCAGTGTACCATGAATTTCTTTCATCTGTCCTTTTTCTTGTGATTTTCATCGTATCACTGATGCAAGATAACAGAGCAGAATGAGAGAATAAAAAAAAACCGAGAGCACAGATGCACTATATCGATTGGTCACTGTTACCGCCGATTGTCAAGTAGCAATATTGTCTATCAACTGTGAATCGCAACGGAAATTTAGAGCAACGCATGCCACTGCGCATGAGCTTTGCTTTACATCTTTTTTTAGATGATACACCACCATCAGACATCGAGTCTTGCTGGGCCTGACAAAATGCAACTCCGATGGCTTTATATCTGAATATAAGCTGCAAATGATTGCTCTTCGTCAAGCTTTGGGAAACAGTTGACATACTGCTACGTTTTCTCATCGCCCAGTATACATCTTGAAGCAAGAGCAACCAACGCATGCTATACAGGAATACATGTCATGATGTTTCACTTGAGAAATATGCAACCAACGCATGCTATACAGGAATACATGTCATGATGTTTCACTTGAGAAATATGTATTAATCTGTATATAAATGCAGCAAATGAGTAGAAATCCATTGCGTATACACGCGTATTCTATCGCGCATTCGCTTAGGCTCACTCTGCCATTACCTCACGATATAAAGCCAACCGAATCCTCATCTACTACGTCGCTAAGCACAGAACACCACTACATGTTCATATAATTAAACTTGCAACCCTGCACGTAACTGTCGTTGTCATGTGTCACCCAGACGTACGGCCCCCAAATATATATTTTATATGTTGTTTTTAATTACATTTTATTTTCTTTGAGTTGTCGACTTTCTTTACGTTGGCTACAATATATAAACGCTCACTGTAGCTTTTGAGTCGAATAATAGCTTCGTCTTACCCCTGTAAAACGTTGAATTTAGCAGTAGACATTGACTAAGAACTGTTTCAAGCACACTTTCACACACACGTGTAATGTGAACGTCGAGCTATAGCCTGTTGCGGCGGACACCAAAATGTGCTGCCACAAAAGAGCAAACATTCGAATTAGGCGAGGTCAGTGCTATCAATGACGGCAGGCATAGCGCGGCCAACTAAGCATAGAATCAAAATAAATCTAGAAACACGCTGCCATTCTCACACCCTGGCAACCGTCTACCATAACCCTACGGTCGCTTCGGTATTGAAAATTTGCATCTTAAGGCCATATCCTTCCTTCTCAGCCCCATTAAGCAATAACAAAAGAATCCATAGAGAACAAGTCACATCTACACGTGTGACTCCTTTCGTGGGGCGTATACGATCGCTTCGAGGTCGCTTCGACCGCAGCTGGAGGCATAAGAGAAAGCGTCCGAAGGCACGACACCGAGTCATGCCATCATTTCTCGACGCTGCTTTCTCTGAGGTTAACCGCACGCAGTACCCGAAAATGGCCGGCAGCAGAAAGAAACACGTGAAGAGGTGAGAGGTGGTGAAGCAAGCTACATAGCCTGTGCAGGGGGCTCGAGTTGCGGGTCAGGGACATCGACAGGAGCGTCTATCCCGTTCGCCATGCATGCGTATATGTGAGCGGGGTTCGTGCGAGATATCTTTCCCGTTTGTTATGTAAACGCGGAGGCGGTAGCCCCCGCTGCGCGGTGAAGATGTCCGCTCGAACGACTTCACTGAAAGGAAGCGTCGCCTTCACGCGGGCGCCCTGAAATATTTTGACAGCAGAAAGGGCGCGCGGTCGAGCGACGCTCGCGTGCACCCTTTGGTTTGGGCCGGGGCTGTTGCGTTACGCGCAGACACCTTCTGGCTTTGGCCGGACCCTTTCTGCCTTCACTGCACTCCCGGAACCACCTTCCCTTGAGGTTCCAGCTCTTCAGCTCGGGGTGCCGTACCATTCCACGGATGTGTAGGAGGAGCCTTTCTATTTCGGCAACGTGCGAACCTTCTTTCTCGGTGCCCGGACATGCAACTCCGGACAAACGGAGTTTCACGCCACACGGACCCGAGAGAACTGACCGCATCGAATGGCTGCCCAGAAACCCGATCTAATGCGGCGGAAACCTGGTCGTCTCGCTCCTTTTAGCTGTGGTCGCTCAGAAGACTGCCCTGTGTATAGACCGTCCGCACGTATACACGCAGCGCAAGAAGCTTCGTGGTAACGCTCAGTCTGTTTACCCGTTGCCGCTTGGCCAGCTCGACAGAGGAGAACCGGCGAAGCGTATTGACGCGTTCAGACAGTGGAAAGAAACGCCCCGCTAGACGAAGGCGAGAAGCGAATTCCGAGCATGCACGTGCATTTTTGTGCCGCCACCGCGCATGAACACCTCGAAGCGCGAATCCGAAAGTGTCGCGCGTTCCTGTTCGACCGATCGAAGACGTTGCATATCTTTCGTTGGTCGTTTTGTTGTAGCTCAATACTTGACCGCGTACTGAAACACGACACGAGCTTTCTGTCATTGTGTGCCCAGTGTGACTACTACAGAACCCACTTGGGAATCCATCGCTTTTTTTGACAGTTTCATGAACCTGAAGAGGGGGTGCTGAAACGTTCCCGGCTTTGCGCAGAAAGGGTATAGTCACAGATTTGAAGGTAAACAATTAATCAAAGTCATCCCTCCTCAAACACAGATGTGCTTTCTAGATTGTTGATTGTTTTTTAATTAAAAAAAACACGCTATAGGTTGTCTAAACAGCTCTGAAAAGTATAGCTGGCGTCAAAAATGTCGTCAGAATGATGTCCTTTCAAATTTTCGATCAGTTAGGAAACAGATAGTTGCTGCAAGGCTCCAGGTTACGTGAATATGAGCGATGGCAAGCACAACTTGAAACCCACGGGGTCTTCACTTTGGCAGTCACAAGCAGTTTATTTACCACCCATATCGCCGAAAGCTAGTACATGCATCGGGTATCGGCGTCAATGGAACAGGCATGCTCCTGGAAGATTTCCAGGCACTGGGCTATTCGCTGGTATTCGCCTATCATCAAAAGTCAGCTTGTAGAAAGCATGGTGTGTTACCGTATTCCTAGAGGTTGTTGGGTGGACACATCGTGGTACACATTGAATGAAAAATCATAAAACGCAATGTATTGAGAGAAAAGCGCCAGCTTTTGAATGTGCTATAGAAGTGCTTATATTGAATGGTAAAATTACAAAAAAACATAGTGTCTTGAAACAAGGACGCCAGCTTTTGAATGTGCTATAGCAATGTTTCTCATATATGTGATATAGGAATGTTTCTAGATGTTTCTCCAATGTTTTTTTATATTTCAGTGTGAGTGTCCGGCGTGGGGGGGGGGGAGGAATTCGAATTTTCGGCAAGCGTTATCACTACAAAGAAAGCCTTTCCGCTGTCTCATATACAGGTCATGTCTGAAAGAGACAAGATTCAAGGTCTCCAACATGTCGATACTGATATTGAAATTGACTGAGATATAGACGCTGATTCCGAAATATAGTGTTTCTTTCGCGCTTATTTTTCAAAACATCCAGACCTCATGAGGTGCCTCACGAAATCAGTACTTAACAGTGGTCACGCCTGTGTAGTTTACGAAAATACCTGCTAATAAAAAGAAATGTGTAGCGAGTTAAGCAGTCATGTGCAGGCTGCAGGCCGCAAGCGAGATGGTTCGCGGGTCGCATGCGGCCCGCCTTACGCGTGTTTGAGACACGTGTAGTGTTTTGC